TTTGAAATATAAATTTTGATTCATTCATAGCCCAAAAACAAAGTGTTCGTGACTCTACAACAAGCACTGTTTCGACATGCTTCGGGCCTCATCAGTAATGCTAGGCTGAACTACGAATGCATTGTCGCACTCAATTTTTCTCGAAGAAGTATGTTTTCATTATGTTTTTATCGTCTTATTATTTTTTTAGTCAAGAACAAGTGAAGGAGAAAACAATTTCGCCAAGAAGCAGGGTGAAAATAAGAGAAGTCACGGAAACAGAGAAAAAAGTTACCATGAAAACAAAGATTATGGTCAGTTTATTTAGGCAGAAGGAATTATTGAAGAAGGATATTCTAAGGAAACGAGCTCAGTTAGAGAAGGAGCTGCAGTTTGAGATTCAAGTAAGTAAACAATTATTTTTGGGATGCTTATTGATAAGGTTCTTAGAGTGACGACCACAGTTGGGTCTTTTGGTAACCAGTTATCAATTTTCACTTAATGGGGGTTTCACTCTTGATGTTGTTCCTTCATTTCATTGAATTTGAAATAAAAACAACACAACCATACTTACAAATAACTCATCATAATTTCTGACAATGTGTCGCACCTTGGGGGCCGCCTGCAAGCAGCTGTCTTCCCATTTTACCCCAATCCTTCTCTTTCATTATCCAGGCGATAAATCGTTTGTCAGCAATTCCAATTCCCATCGTAAAAAACCAACATTAGCTGAAGTACTGAAACAGCAGTCTCATCAATTATAATTTTTTTTCAGGTTCATAAAAGCGCCTGGCCCTTCATGGAACCAGTCGATCCAACAGAAGCACCTGATTATTATAAAGTTATAAAAGAACCAATGGGTGAGTTTCGTTTTAACATCAGAAAACTTGTGTTTTTCAAAACCCTTAAAACTTTATTCGTTGAAAGAAATTATTTTTATGAAAAATAAACAATGCTGAATCAATAGAGAATCTGCAGAATCTGCAAACTGAGAAGTGTATCTCGGAAAGTTACTGCGTAATATAAACCACTGAAGAGTCTAATTAGTCAGTTACTTGTTGACGTTTCAGAAAACAATCTTTTTCCTTTTCCATAACCAAAACATCACTTGAAAACTCTCGTCTCAAATTGTGAATAGCTTTCTTTTTTTGACATATGTCGAAAGAAGGAAATGTCAATATGTCATATGTGATAGTTTACATGAATACATACATTATGCAGGATGTTTTTTTTGAGAATTCAGTTCAAATCATATTTCCGTTTTCAACCTGTCGCAATGGCAACCAGCTAAGATCTATTTCCACAGAGCTATTTGAAATACACTTGTTACTTGCTAAAAAAATGTATCACTCTGTTCAAAAAATTAGGTGAATTTGTATCTTTCTCAAAAACAATTTATTCATTCATCAATGTCTATTTTGTTTCCTTCAAAGTACTTCCTCTCAGATATAATACACATGTGCCAGCACTTTTTTCTGTGTCCTTGAGCTCTCAGAGATTCTGTTTTCATCTTCTCAACCGTCCTTTCATGGGTCCCTTCAATCTTGGGAACAGGTAAAAGTCACAGGGGGTCAAGTCTGGTGAATACGGTGGCTGGGGCATGATTACAGTGTTGATTTTGTCCAACAAATTACGAACAAGCAATAACGAATGAGCAGACGCAGAAGCCATGCGTTGTTTTTTTACAATACCGGACGTTTTCTTCTAAATGCTTCTCGTAAGGGGCTCATAACTTCAAGATAATACTCATCGCCTTCTACATCTGATGATTCAGGCAATGTTTCCAAAGTTTCATAAGGCTTATTTTCTTCCACAAAATTGTTTGGCAGTATTTTGTCCTCGGTTTTTGAGGAGCTAGGACCAGGTCTGAGTTGAGTATGACATTTGGATATTTGATTTATTTATAATTTCAATGATTTGTTCCACCTCGAATATTACGGAAGATACGGGGGTGTTTCCATAAGAAGTGAGACAAATTCGGATTTTTCAGGACTGAAATTTTTTCAGGAAAAAAGTGTAATCGTAGTAAGTTGGTAGTCCTGATCACGAATCTGAAGTAATTTTGAGCCTATTTTGCCCCCTATTTGCCCCTATTTTACCGTAAAAATGGGGTGTTCCATCGCTAGTGGCGGACAGTGTATATCACTTTGGCCAACCCCATTCAGGTGGTAGGTGCATTTTGAGCATTGTTACGATTAGTTGTAAATAGTTGAACGATAATTATTAAATTAGGGCAACTCTATTTGTGAAACACCCGATATATAGTTCCAGCCGACTCGATAAGTTTTTTTTTGAAAGAAAAAAAAGGAACGTTTTTTCTTTCGTCCGTCCGCTCTAGGGCATTGGTGAGTGAAACTGAATGATAACGTTCGGAAGATTTTATTTCAGGCAAATTCTGGTTTTCAAATATAAAATTACGTCTTTTGACGGATATAAACCTGCCGTGCCTTGTTGTGATATTGTGATTGGGTAATTCTGCTGTGGAGCGATCTTGCAATATCCTTATTATCGATTGGGATGAATTTTATCGAATGAATTATTTCTTCCGGACCGTTTAAAAACATCTCCGGCAATGTTAGGGCAGTCGAGCATTGGGAGGTAAGCGTATAGTTTTGTCATTCATTATTTTATTTTGGCACGGATGTATCGCGAAATCAATTATTTACGAGAATACCTTTTTTTAGATGTTTTTCTCTGATATGGTAAATCGAAATTTCGCCCGGACGGTGCTACCTTTGAGAACACGTCGAAGTGGATGGGGTCAGACCTTTTTGAACTTTATTGCCTTGNACTATACGCTTACCTCCCAATGCTCGACTGCCCTAACATTGCCGGAGATGTTTTTAAACGGTCCGGAAGAAATAATTCATTCGATAAAATTCATCCCAATCGATAATAAGGATATTGCAAGATCGCTCCACAGCAGAATTACCCAATCACAATATCACAACAAGGCACGGCAGGTTTATATCCGTCAAAAGACGTAATTTTATATTCGAAAACCAGAATTTGCCTGAAATCAAATCTTCCGAACGTTATCATTCAGTTTCACTCACCAATGCCCTAGAGCGGACGGACGAAAGAAAAAAACGTTCCTTTTTTTTTCTTTCAAAAAAACCTTATCGAGTCGGTTGGAACTATATATCGGGTATTTCAGAAATAGCGTTGTCCTAATTTAATAATTAGCGTTCAACTATTTACAACTAATCGTAACAGCATTTCCATCAGTCTTGAGAGTTTCATCGTTCTACCTCGAATATTACGGAAGATACGGGGGTGTTTCCATAAGAAGTGAGACACACTGTATTTTATTTTTAAGTTTCAGTTCTGATTTGTCTTTTTTTTGTATGCTCTGTTCGTACTTAGTTATATTATAGTTTTTTTTTCCTGCTATAAACATTGTATGTTTCTTGGGAAATACATTATTATTATTGTTTTTGTAAGATAACATTTTTCAGTTTTTTACATGTCTTACAAGTGAAATATGAAACTCGATAATCATAATATGAAGTCTCATGATTTTTCTCTTCATTTTCAGATTTGCAAATGATTGAAGGGAAAATCAACGATCAGAGGTACAAGAAGCTTAGTGAATTCATCGGAGACATGACAAAAATTTTCGACAACTGTAGATACTACAATCCGAAGGAATCTCCATTTTATAAATGTGCGGAGTCTTTGGAAGCTTACTTTGTAAATAAAATCAAATGCTTACGAGATAAATTGTTCGAAACTAATAAGTGAAAAAGTCTTTAGATGGTTTCTTGAATAAATCCTGAGATTTTTGCTGGAGAGCAGACTTTGGGCAGGTCCGAAACGATCTCAGCTTTATTTAATCTCGGTCTATTTAGTTTAAGTGACCTGTTTCAAGTTTAAATATTGTACATACCTGAATTGATTTGTGAATACGTGTACGGAGAAAAGTTTTATTTTGTAATTATTTTCATATCACTTTAGTTATTATTTATTATTGCAAAGTATTTAATTATGGAGTTTTAAAAATGTTTCTAGCTTGTATAATTTATTGATAATAAATTGTTTAAGTTTTAAATATTGAATTTCAGTCATGTTCATGATATATTGTGTAATTTTAAATATATTTGAATATAAACTAAAACAGTCTTAGGGATAGTGCCATTGTAGATATTAAATATCCAAGTGGATTATTACAGAAATTTTGTCTTTTACGTTTGCACATATTTCAGATTTTTATATTTAGTCGGTTGGTATGCCGGCTGTGTTTTATCGAGAATAAAACATTTACATGATGTTTTCATTATCTATTTTTTTTATTACCTCTCGTCAAAGCCTTCATTAATGCATCTCAGGGGTGAATAAGTCTCCCAATAATAATTGGAAATTATATAGTCTGGTTCACAAGATCCTTTTTTGGAACTTCTGTCCAAGGGCACCGCTATTTATGATCCAGGGCTCAGTCGATTCGGAATGACCTCTAGCGACCTTTTGAAAAGTTTCAAGAGGGGCTCGAAAAAATTGCAAAAGTTATTGTAATGAATCTGAAGCCGGCCCTGACTGATATCTCAGCGAGCAAACGCATGACTCATCGGGAATGCACTCGAAAAGCCTCTGCGAATAATCTAGGCCAGTGCCGAAATCCCGAGAGATATCCGGAGCGTTCGTTGACGATATAAAAAGGCCGCTCTCCGTCCCGAGCAGTAGTCTGTACTTAGAAAGTGAATCGTGCGTTTAAAGAAAGAAATCTAACTGTGAAGATAAATTAAGCGTTAGTTGCTAAGCGTTGTTTATAAATTAATTGTGAAAGTGAAATATTGTTAAAAATAAATTTGTTTAAGACAGTTAATTCATTAATTCGTTACAATTGGTGTCAGGTGTGGGGTAACCATCTTCCACGACCGAGCATAAAGACTGTGGAGTGTTACTTCCATCAAACTTCACAGTGCAGATATGGGGAGTCCTGCAGGTATCAACACACGCCAAGGATGACATTTCGGGGCGAAACATCTTTAAGAAGGGGGCAATGTAATGAATCTGAAGCCGGCCCTGACTGATATCTCAGCGAGCAAACGCATGACTCATCGGGAATGCACTCGAAAAGCCTCTGCGAATAATCTAGGCCAGTGCCGAAATCCCGAGAGATATCCGGAGCGTTCGTTGACGATATAAAAAGGCCGCTCTCCGTCCCGAGCAGTAGAATAAACAGCTAACCCATGTCTTTAGATTCAGTATCAATTTGCTTCTCCTGAAGATGCTAACCTTGTTAGCGAAACGCGCGTCAAGTGCAAAAATATCAATTTGGTGTTAGGGTAATTGATCTCTAGAAAAAGTTTCCAAAAATCGGTTTGCAAAATCACTCACTACCTCACCTAACCCCACGAACACACGACACTGATAAAAAAATATTGTGAAACGGACAAAAAATTAGTATTCAGTCAGTCCAGCTAGCCGAGCCTTTATTCCTCAACTACATTTGATAGCACGTTTACTAACTATCTGGGCGACTAGGAGCCACAGGCAAGAAATGTTTATGACTGTACTCTTATTTTTATTGCCGTTCCAATTGGGAATGGATAGACTATAAATGTTATTTTTTTCCAGAGAGAAGTGGCCGAAGAGTTGGCAGCTAGAACGAAAATAGAAAGAACCAAGCAAGAAGAGGTTCGAACAGGCAGCAGCAAAAGGAAATCGGCTGCCACAGCGACTACCGCAGCCATTGCGCCGCCCACACCTAAGACGACAGTGACGCGTCACCAGAGGAAAGGGCAAAAGCAGCCTGCGCAAGGCATCTCTCCGCCCACGGCTTCCGGCCCGAAAGGCGCCGGTCTCAAGCGGGAAAAAGTGTATTGCATATGCAGGACTCCTTACGATGAAACCAAGTTTTACGTCGGTTGTGATTTGTGTAATAACTGGTTCCACGGCGATTGCGTCAACATTACGGAGGAGAGCAGTAAAACGTTGACCGAGTTCATTTGTACGGAGTGCAAGCAAGCCAGGGATACTCATAAGTTGTACTGTTTGTGTCAGCAGCCCTACGATGATTCTCAGTAAGTGTGATTTATTTGTTTAATAATGATGATAATAATTCTGAAGAAATGCGAAAAATAAAGACTCTCAAAGTCGTCTCCACAATTTAATTGTCACCATCAGATGTTAGAGCGGTAAAACCATCGATCAGTACACGTTTCGAACCTATACAGGTTCATCATCAGCTAATTTTTAATAGAACAACGTAGCAATAGTTAATACAATGCAGTATAAAATACTTACATGGGAGAAGAAAATATTTTATTTTATAACGGAGAAAAGAAAGTTAATTCATACTACTAACATTACCGTGTTAGGAATCACACGTTAAAAGGTAAGACCTCGTTAGTCCTTAGCTCGCACAAGTTTCTCAACTACTTCTGAGAGTTGTCGTTCGTATGGGGGCGACAGATGACAGATTTTAAACAGATTTAATAAAACACATAGTCACCATGACATTAATAATGAAATAAAAAAATGTTTATTCAGTAGAAAAAAAGAAGAAATTTATAACATCATATTTGTCAGTAATTGAACTATTTTTTTTATTCATATCTCTTTATTTAGTTGAAAAACGAATTCATTGTCACATTATAAATAAAATAATACCAATATGAAAAAATACAAACATTCTGATTAAAAATACAAATGTAAAAATAAAAAGTTACATAAGGAAGTCATACATAGGAATATACTGTAACGAATTGAAGAATTAACTGTCTTAAACAAATTTATTTTTAACAATATTTCACTTTCACAACTAATTTATATACAACACTTAGCAACTAACGCTCAATTTATCTTCACAGTTAGATTTCTTTCTTTAAACGCACGATTCACTTTCTAAGTACAGACTACTGCTCGGGACGGAGAGCGGCCTTTTTATATCGNTATTTCAGCCACATAAGTTAATTTATTCTGTAGATATACAGGTGAATATAAAATTTTGATTTTAAAAATAAAAATTAGTGTTTGGTACGCGAAGAGTTTCTTCACCAGTAGCCATTGAAGGGTTTGCAACATATTTGCTATGGGTTTTATCCTCAAACATTGTAAGATTAATCGCGTAGCAAGATTTGTAGTATCTAACAAATTATTTCTACACAACATGGAATAAGCTTTGAGATCTTTTTGAACTAATTCAGCATCTTCCCAGCAAGTAAATGCTCGATAAAATTCGAGATCATCCGCAAATATAAGAAATTCTGAATATTTGAAAACAAACTCTATGTCCGATACAAACAATTTGAAAGCAGTGGGCCCATGTGGGATCCCTGCGGTACCTCTGATGGAACCTGAATGGGCGTAGATGTTGTATCTCCATATTTTACAGACAGAGTTCTACCAGTTGAAAACTATTGATTATTTAACATCTTCTCATATCACAAAATCTCAGCATACCATATTAAAGTGTCTGGTAAAAATTTCATCTTCACTTTCGTTTTAGGTTTTATATATGCTGCGATCGATGCCAGGACTGGTTCCACGGAAGGTGCGTTGGAATTTTGCAGTCAGAAGCAGACAACATCGATGAATACATATGCCCACGATGTCAAAGGAATAATTCCGTAAACTTTGCCAACATGAAAGACTTGTCGCACAAGGACTTTGAGGGTCTGCGTAAATTGATAAAACAATTACAGGTAAGGCCGGTTTTTGTTTGTCATTTCGGTGAATGAGAATATTTTTGTTTAAATTCATTTTATGATACTTTCATGTTTCATTTCAACAATTCATTTCCTTGCAAAAAAATTAAACCCAAACATAAAAAGAAACCATGGTATACCAAAGAACTACGCGAATTACACAATACTGTCTGTGAAATGTCTAGTGATAATGGCACTATCAAAAATAGATGTATGAGTTTGAAAAACATATACAGAAATCTAAAAAATTAGTACAAAACATACCTACAGTAATAACAGGTTAGCTAACTGCACAAATATAATGAAGGAAAGCTGGAAAATAGTTGGAGAAATGAAGCAGGGAAGTAGGAAAGAAAGTATGACCGTTCCTGATACTATAAACTATAAAGGACAGAAAATATCAGGTATATCATGTATAGTGAATGCTTTTAATGAGTACTTTGTAGATGTTCCATGCGATAAGCCAAACTATAACAATATCAAACTCCCTCCTCGTGAGTTAAAATCTTTTTTCTTCACCCCAGTTACAACCACTGAAGTTGAATCAATATTAAAAAGATTATCGCTGAAGCCATGTCCTGGCATAGATGAAATATGTGGAAGAGTACTAAGTGCAGCNCATCTCTGAACATGTTCAAAAATGAACTGAAGAAATTTGTTTTAAATGAACAAATATGATATGTATTATGTCTTTGTTACCTGTAGCTGTAATTTGTATAATTCCATTCATCTAATGTTCGTTATATATTTCAAATAATTATGTAATTTATCTTTCTACATGTTGCATTGAAATTTTTCGAATGTATAATGTTGCTGTTTTTGTAGTAATGTCTTTAAAAATATTTTATTGAACTTATGTTTGTCATACATTTAAGTCATTTCTAGATGTAACACATACCTTTTTTTTTATTTCTACCATTCTAGTTGATTTGTATATTATTAGGATATCCTATTTAAATAAAGATCTATCTATCTATCTACACATCCATGTATAGCGTTACTTATTTTCAAATTGATTACTTCCTTCCTTTCTTGGGAAGATTCTCTCATCCATTTTTTTGTATCAGATGGAGTAGTAGAAAGCCAAAAAAATAAATCTACTATCACTGCCCTGAATGAACTTACGTCCTTTGTTTATGACACGTACAAAGGAAACCCCACTTGCGCTCTACTTTGACCTAAGTCGGGCATTTGATACAGTAGATCATGTGCTAATGCTTGATAAATTAGAATATCAGTGTGTGAGAGGGATGGGCAATGACTGGCTGAGATCATATTTGCATAGGAGAAGCCAGTGTATTGTGCTAAATAATTGTATATCTGATATACAATATGTTACGCAGGGAGTACCTCAGGGTTCCGTACTTGGACCACTCTCATTCATAGTATTCATGAACGACCTAACTTGCTTAGAAAAACAATCAGATTTAGAAATTGTGTTTGCAGATGACACAAATTTCTGCTTAAAAAACCAAACAGCTCAAGAATGTTGTGCGAGAGCAA